GAATGCATCGGATCTTTCAAGCAATAGGTCCGCTCACAGGCCAGTGACACTCAGGAAAAAATCAACCCTTATAAAACTACAAATCATTCCTGAACAGAAGCCAAAACATCTCAGCACTTTGTTTGTTTTTATTTTTTTTTCCCCTGGATCAGACTGGCAAGTTGTTGTACACACCGCAGCATTTGTTCTTAATTTATTATGCAACATAATCATCTATTAATTTATGCATATGAATTACCAAAGCAGGCTGAAAGGTTATTAAGATTTCCCATGGGAGACTATTTAAAAAAAAAAATTTACATTTTAGCAGAAGTACTGAATAAACTTTGCATATCTCCATTGTCTTTCCAGACTGGGGAGCAGTAGATAGGTATCTGGAATAGATTATTTCCCAAACTATTTATTTACTCCTACTGAAGAAAAAAATTCTTGAATGAAAAACGAAACAGTTTCAACAAATGTCAGGCCACTTGCCAAAACAGGAGCTGTTTTGGAGCAAAAAGAAAGAGAAAGGGAACAAGAGAGGTGAAAATCAGCACAGACACGGTGGGACTTAGCAGTATTTAAGGGATATTTTCATCCTCATGGGATGTCTGCTGCTGAGAAAGGAAAATGGGTGAACTCGGCAGTGCTGCTTTACTGGGCACCACAGCGGGAGGCAGGAGCAGGGCAGCTCCTCTGCTCCCCATTCCACGGGAGGCAACAGGAATTCCCATTGGCACAAGGCGACACCAGGACCGGCACAAACCGGGGTCTCCCACCGTGTTTCTCCTTCCGAGCTACACCCAAAAGAAAAGCCCTTTGTTCACCTGTTCCTCCCCAAAATACCTTACCCTCCTGGCCTTCCCTTGCACTCCTAGGGCAAGTTGTGAAACTACAGGAATTAAGCACATCTCCTTCTAATATCCAGTTTATTGGCACAGGCACACACGCAACGACTCCAAGAGCCTACTGGAAACCGAGTACAGCTGACATCTATTTTCCTGCTGATAGGAAAATCCGCCTTGGTCCCTGGACGTGCTCCTCGTTTCAGCATAATCCCTTGCAGACAGAAGTGTTGCAAGAGCTGCTTTGAAGGGCAATCATTGCCTTCAATGAGCGCTCCCCAGAGAGGGGGATGAAGCTCCGTGGCTCCTGAGTTGCGCACATCCAGAGCACTTCTGTGGGAATCTAGACACCACTCACCCACAGAAGCCTCCTGAGGAGTTTTCACATTCCCCGAGTACCTGCGAACATCCAGCACAGCCTCCTTTTCCAAACACTTGCACTAAGGTGCACAACCGAAAACACTTCCTCATCCCACAAAAGGCATTTCATTCTGCAAACAGAACTTCCACAGTCTCCAAAAGGACTGGCATTTCCACCCTTACCTCAGATCCTTCCCTCATGTCCCCTAATACTTGAAGGCATCTTAGCAATTTCCTAGCATTCTTCCACCTTCTTTTGAAACACCCCATCGTGTTCCAAGCAAGTATTTTCCTGCAAGGCATTAACAAGCCTGGTCAGCAGGACATGCTTACACACACGGTTTACACGGAGCACCACTTCTTATCTCCGCAGGCTGCAGCGTCAGAACCGCAGAGAAAGGACCGAGTCGTTTCCTGAATTGCATCACAAGGAACCAGGGCATTAAAGCATGACACATGCTGAAAGAGAAAGGCAGTTAGGAACACAGATTTCTTTTTTCCTACAGATTCTTACGCTTAAAGTGGAAGTCCCGTTCTCCGGTTACTGCAATCTGAAACTGCTCTGTGTAGCGGGGCACTACTTCTTGCTTAACACGAGAAACACAAAGCGCTCAGCATCACCCAAACACCTCTGTGTTGAAAAATAACCAGAATGTCTAAAATTTCACTGCGTGGAGAGCCTCCAGGGACTCACTGTGGCCAATTGTAGTCATATTTCTCTCACCTTCAGAAAGGAGGTTAAGCAAAGTTATTTTACTTCTTTTTACACAGCAAGTAGCATGACGATATCACACGATTGGTGTTGAAAAAGGCAGGCAAGCAAGTGAATATTATTAGTGCAGTGTATTTACATTACTGAATATATATCCAAATAATTTGTCCATGCAGCATTTTAAATAGGGGAAAAATAACAAATATACACACAAACTGCAAACATACATATTCTTCTTGATTATATATATAAAAACACACACTTTGGAGGAGTGTCCATGTGTGTGTCTTGGTATACGTAGGATATCGTGATTTATATATATATATATACACACACACACAAACACTACACATACACACACATATATATATGTACTCACACACATGTATATCTATACACACAGGTATAAAGATGTATCTTGAGACACACACAGACTGTGAGTTGGCTTGGGAAAGACCTAATGAGCAAGAAGTGGCCGGGAAGGGAAGGCTCTGAGGTGATGAAATGAACGTTAGCAACAAAATAGGATGGAGGACGTGGTATTAAACACACAGCAAGGGTCATCCAGGGACAATCCGATTCAAAGAGGAGACAGGAAGAAGCTGCCACCTGAGGAAAGGGCTCCAAACTGGGGTAAAAAATAGATTTATGGCAGGACAAAAGATAGGAAAAATAACAGTATGGATGAGGTATAAAGAGCACGTCACCAAAGGATTAATAGGAGAGGAGTGTGTGCACTTGGCTAATAAATGCTCTTTGCTGGAAAAAGATAAAAGTAAAAAAAAAAATCCTCCATCATGACAAACTTCCTTGTTATAACACAAATACCGACGCAGATTTGTTGCTTACGGGGGTCATTTCAAGTGGAAAACCACAGGACCCTAAGCCTAATCACTAGCCCATATTAATTAGTGAAAACATTCAAATGAAAGTGAAGAGGGGAAAGGAGGGAGAGCAGGATTAGATGAAAAATCATGTGAAATGGAAACCTGCGTGGAACACGTGGCAGCTCTCGGCCACTCTCCAACATGATGGATTATCAGCACCTCCTTTATCGCCTCTGCCATTCATCACCAAGTCGGGCTCCAGCAAAAACACGGATGATATTTAAGAGCGCTAAGCAAAACCTGGTATTGAGTTTCTTGCTTTAGCACTTTCTGTGGCAAGTTATTTCCCACCTGACTGAGCTCTTGGACTCGAACCTGGGACGACACTGTCAACACAAAATAAATCTTCCAGCTGCAAAATCTCCCTCCTTATACACAAAAATCCCGATCATTTCCGTGCACCGTCACTCATGGGGACTACAATATTTTTCCCTTAGGTACTGCTAGAGGGACAACGGGAATAGCATAAATTTTCTCCAACACAAATTAGATGATCGTTAAATCCAGACCAGCAATTAAGTGGCATCTGTGCCAGCCAAAACATTTATCCCCAATTTTCTTTAAACTCTCTTTGCGCTTGTAACCCAAATCAATTCAGAGTTACCTGCTGCGGTCTCAGTTTTAAATGCCGCAAAATCTCATTTTTAAATACCACAGTTTTAAATGCCACAAAATGCACACGTGCCCAGCGGCACCTCAAACAGTCAATCTCAACATCAGACAGATCTACATTTGCACGGAAAGGCCTCGCTATGGACAAGGAACACGCTTATGTGTAAAGAAAGCAAGCCCTGAGCATTCAAAGCGACTGTGGGACAGAAGTAAAATCTGTGTGTGGCTTCGCCGCCCTGCAGTTTTTATTCCTGGATCACAATGCATCAGAAGCAAGCCAATCTTGCCAGAAGGAAAAAAAAAAGACATTTCCCTAAGGGGAGGATGTCCCTGTTGGTCTAACGGCCAGGAGCAGCTGCCCTTGTCCCCATCCGCCTCCTGCCGCTCGGGCATCGCTCAGTTTAACGGGATGTCCCGACTCCAGACGTGCCCGGAGATGCTCCAGGGACACCTCGGAGCAGGCTGGCCAAGGAGAGCCCGCAGCGGCGTTCCCAGCGTGGGGATTTACAGCAGGAATGTCGCTCCGGCCCAGCATCCCGGCGCCCGCGCCACATCCCGGAGGAGCGCGAGGCCCTCGGCCAAAGCGCACCGGGGAGGACGGGAGCTGCGGCGCCTACGGAGCCGGGGGACGTTTTCCACGTCCCGCCTGGAAAAGAAACATGGATCTGCGTGGAGGATGCAAATCCTGAGGACGCGGAACCAGGGCAACATCTGAGCGAGATGCAACGCATCCTGGCCCCCAAAACGGGGCATTTACACAGGAAACGGGCTTCGCTCCCAACGGCGCTGCCAGCAGCGACTCCGCTCCATCCGTCCACACAGAGATCCCACGTATCCTGGTTTATTATCATTGTTATTTACTTTTAATTATTATTTCTATTTGCAGTGTGGACACAGGATCACGTGCGTACAGAAACTCAATTATTTTTATATCATTTTTTCGCCCACGTCTGGGCAAACCTGCAAATAAGCTGAATAAACACCAAATTTAGCAACAAGTAATATATGTAGGTATAAAAAAGACACACTAAAATAAATTAAAAATAAAACAGTGGCTACTCACGCTACCATCGCAAAAAAAGGGACCCCTGGGGGTCACCCGGACCAACTACACACACATGCAGGTAAATATACATGCACACGTGTGCATTTATATATTATAATGTATACACACAGACACGTATACATGTTTCTGTGTGTATATGTAACTAAATGTCACTTAGAGGTTGGAATCTCCCGTCCCTATCTGAGAAACATGTAAGACTGTGTGTGACTGTATTTATATATATATATATTTGTACACAAAACTTGTGTACAAATATATAGACACGTACTTATATGCAGATACATGCAATATACACAAATATATATACACATAGATATAAGCATATAAATGTCTAGAAATACGTTTTTACCTGTAAATAAAGGTACATTTACACACGACACACACACATTTCACACACACGGACATATACAAACGGGTATAGGGTGCATTTCGGGCACAGCGCACACACTAACGTGCACCCAAATGCCACATATAAATTTGCACCCATACATAAAACACACACATACCCACACAGAGGCACACCGGGCGCCGCTTACCGTCGCACTGGTAGCCCGCGAGCCCCCAGATGAAGTCGGTGCAGCCGTGGCAGAAGGTGGGCTTGGTGAGGGTC